ATCCTAAAAACTCTGTAAACCATAACAAAAGAAAAAACGTTCATCCACGCATATCTTATTCCCCTAAAGCATTATGTTGTATTGATGTAACATCTTTTAAACAATGCATTTCAACCACATATACCACCTTTAGGAAATTGTTGTGAGTGCTTTAGTGAAAATTTTGTACAAATGTCACAAGCATAATCTTAGTTCTTCATAATCTTTTTTGCTCGTTTTATTTCTCATCATATTTTCTTTGGCGTTTCCCTTGTCTTTTGTCTTTTGGTTTGTCATGAATGTTTAACAGACAAAACTTTATTAGAAGAGGTCAGTACTTAACTATTAGGACACAGAAACGCAAAAATATACTCCTACAATAACCAAGTTCCATTGCTTAGTTTGCACGTTGCAACCAACTCTCTGCCTCTATTGGGTAAAGATGAATCTAAGCCAACACCTCCTTTAGTGTATCAAAAATTACAATATCTCTTATTCTTGCATATTCCGCGGTTCACCTTATTTCCACTAATAATAAAAAGGTTATGTATCCCATCTATTGGAATATATGATGTATATCAAGGATCTAGAATACATTAGCCAAGTTGGAAAATAGTTCTTGATCCAAATGTGAAGTCGAGTGTTTTAATAGTCTTATAAATTCTATAAAAATTGATGAATACGATAATGATTCTTACACGTTACACGGATTTTTTTCATATAGGTGTATGAGAGTGTTCATGGTTTAGGAGAAAATTATGGGTACAAATGGGAAACCACTGAGGTTCCTCTACTGAACTAACGATCATCTCGTTCGCGTTTTAAATTTGAAGAGTTCTTAAGTGAGGAGAAAGCTGCTCATGGACCGGTTTGTTATTTACGGCATGAAATAAAATGAAAAACAATTCTCAAAGATCGGCCAGTCCATTAAGATTTTCAACTAAATTATTAATAATAAATTACTCAAGTAAGTATTTTTTTTTTCATAAGATCCTCAACGAAATTATTAAAAAAAAAAAACTAAGTAAGAACTTTTTCATAAGAACCTCAACTAAATTATTAATGAAACAAAATCCTCAAGTAAGAGTTTGTAATGGAAAAAAATCCATCTACAATTCCCTCTAAACAAATATCGTTTAATCGATACTCTGTGTCGTTATTGATTGAATTTGTTTTAGACTTAAAACAACGTAGTATTTGTTCAAAAACAACATGAATTTTAAAATATCACTACTAATGTCGACTTAAAATCTAAAAATCGTGTAAAATGTAAATCACCATTCGTCACTGTGCTTCTTTTTTATTTCATATGCATTTAATTCCTATAATTCTACATGGATAGTCAATTTGCATCGTTTTATGCAAAGATGTGATATTTTAATTATAAAATATAGTAATTGATTATTTCATATTCTCAATCGATCGCATCACATTTCTTATGTCTAAAAAACAAATAGTGCATTTTCGTATGTCTAAAAAAAATATACACATTGTTTTATAACATAACATAATGCAAAAGTATCGATTTGATAGCAGTAATTTTAGGGTTTTGGCGACACAAAAGTCGAATGGTTTTTATTTTTGTTAACGGTTCTTTACTTGAGAAGTTTTTTTCATTAAATGATTTATTTAAGGGGTTTAAAATAGATAAATCTATACTTGAGTAGGTTTTTATCAATAATTTAGTTAAAGGGTTTTAAATTAATCGGCTGATATTTGAGAGTTTTTTCATTAAAATCCATTTGTGTGTTAGTCTAATAGTTAGACGTTTTATTTGTGTTAGTCTAGTAGTCAATCCTCCCTAGAATTATTGTTAAGTGATCAGTAGATGCGATCATATCCTCTTCTTTTTCTTATTTTTGTTGTCATCGAGTTCATAAATTTAGATACGTATACTAGGACTTATGAACGGTCTTGTAGATTGACCAGGTATATGTATATATATTACGATCTCATTGTATCTGGCTTTCGTTTCTAGTATTTATCTTTTTTCTTCATGTATTCGGACTTCTTTAGATACAGATAGTTTTTTGTGATAGTTAGCTATAGTCCTTAGCTACAATTATTACCGTGTCTGATTTATAGGAAACGGACTTGGATTCTAGTTTATGACTGGTATTTGCAACATATAGTGGTAATAAGATTTAAAACTTATATAGGAGTAATTAAAGAAGAGTGTGTTTTGACCGGTCATACTATTTCTGATTGCGTGAGCTGGAAAATTGTCGTGGCTAAAAGTGGGATCGAAAAAGGAATAAAGAGATTTAACATGGGATTAGGAAGAAGGGTTAACGTGTTTATAAGATAACAATAGTTAAACAAATTTTTAACTCTTAATATATTCTTATACAAGTCCCAAGAAATTTTGTTTGATGTGGTCTCGAATCGGCCAATAGAAATATAGAATGTCTTGTTAGTAGGTTTGATGTAGTTATTTTGATCGCCCAATCAGGTTATTATTGATTTCATAGTTTAGTTTTCTTGAAATCTTATCATGGGTTAGAATAGAATGACTTATAACATTTAAAGTAACGTGAAAGAACCTAACACGGTCCCTGATCATATTTTCATTTATTATAAGCCGAAAGTATTTTGTCAACTTACTGCATTGTTGATAGAGTTTGTTTGTGTTGCATCCATTACTGATAGTGTTTACGACAAACTGCTAAAAGATAAAATTACTTAAGAGCAGCAGACATATTCGATTTATTTTAATAAACTAAATTTCAGAATAAAATTATTTTATCCTATTTAGATAGCCTAAAAGTCGGTAAATAGGTATTTTCATATCCATAAAAATATGTACGGTTAATTCTAATACAAACCGAAAAATATGAATTTCATATCCAAACTTTATATTTAGTGTTTTATTCAGAATCGTAATTAACGGTAACTACATGTGTTAGTCAACCGTTACGGTTTCTAAGACAGTTGATACATATTTGATGACGTGATTTAAAACGACGTCGTTTTGTTTGTTGGAATTAAAATTTAAATTATTTTTTTACAAAAAATTGAGTCTCGAACCCCGACATCTCACTCGTTTACATATCTCACAACATTTGATCTACAACTATTTTCGATGGCGGGATTCGAGACCCAATTTTTGCAAAAAACTAAAATTAAAATTTCCAGCAAACAAAACGACATCGTTTCAAGCCACGTCATCAAACACGTGTCAGCTGACTTAGCAACTAAAATGATTGACTAACACCCGTTAATTACGACTCCGAATAAAACACTTAGGGGGTGTTATTCAATGGTGGAGTTAAAATCAATTCTTTAAGGTTTAGATTTGCTTTCTGATATTGGTTTTAAGAATCTGTTTGTGTGGATTTCAAAATCTCTACAATATATCTTGGATTTGGATTCTAATAATTTACTCATGAAACTCTAAAGAAGTTTCATTTCAAATGACTTAATATACAAAGATTTTACAAGTCTTTTAGTTTTGAATAACACTAGATTTTACAAACTTTAAAGAATTGACTTTAACTCCACCATTGAATAACACCAAACTTTTAAAATCTAATGAAGTATAAGATCTAATAACACCAGATTTTAACGTTAGATTTATAATCATTAGGTAAAATTTGTGTATGAAATTCATATTTTTTGCGGTTTGTATTGGAATTAACCCTATGTATTTATTCAGATCGGAAAACACACTTTGCAAATTGTACAAAAATACCATTTTCCTCCTAAAAGTCTAAAAACTATACGAAGCAATAAAATTAATTATAATCTAGTTCAACCAATAATGTAAAGATAAAAAATATTAACACATATTTAAGTTCGAGTGTCGCTAGTAATTACTACTACACACATACTCCATCAGCCATTTAATGTTTTATGCATTCATTAACAAATTCTGTAGATCCGCCTGCCTCAAATGTACATGATTTGATAAACTTTATCATTTTAGGTATTATACCAAAACCGGTGACTCGATCCGGTTTAGGAAACATTTAAATAATGTGGATCGGTTTCAACTTTCTCGTAATGGTGTCGACGCTTATCGAGTGTGTTGGTTGATGATAATCAACGGCGTGATCATCATCCATCACATGCACGTGAGTGGTACTTTCTGTAATTTTGAAGCAACGTTATGACCCTTTTGGTAAAGTTGTCCCCACCACTATACCATAATTGCACATGTTTTATTCAATTAATCCTTTAAACGAAGTCAAAAATATTTCCCACCTTCGTATTTGTCACTAAGCAAATTCTAATTTTCCCTGCAAATTTATGCTCTATAATTTACCTTTTCTTTTTTTTTGAATAAAAATATAATTTACCTTTTCACAAATCTCAAGATTATAAAACCAATCATTTAATATGAATTCAGACTACAATTATAAATATTTCTTCCCAGTTTTTTCTGCTCTTTTTCATCATCCGGGTCGATATATTCCGACTAATAACATAATTTTTATTACATGAGATAATGCGAGTCGAATTGTAGTAGTAAAGAATGCAAAATATACCTTTAACCATTTCATTGAAATTGTATTTTTCTATTTTTATTTGCCAGTGTAAATATATATTTAACTTTTCTTTTTTTTTCCAATGAGAAACATTATGTTGGGTTAGTTAAGAAATCTATATCTTTAAAAATTGGAGGAATTAGTATTTTCATATAAACACATTACACATATATGAAAAAGGAAAAAAAATCGTGCCTACACATGTGTTTGTACAAGTATGTAAACAAACTAAATGTTGGCAAAACCAATATCATAATATTTACAATTTTACCAAAGGAATAAAAAAAAAAAAAACAAAATAGGTATATAAGTAAGTGTAAAAAAATTAATTCCCATAAAATCTCCTTTGTCTTCGTCAAACTTTTCCGAATTAGACCTCTTGTCCCCTTCAAGCGCAATAAAAATGAAAGAAAAAAAATAAAATAAACAAAAGTTTATCTTTTCTACAGAGAAACCATAACTTTCTCTAACTTTACTCCTTTTTAAACTCACATTTCCCCTCACTTCACTCTCTCCTCTCTCCAAAGACCTCCGACGAGAGTTTACCGGAAAAATAAAAACAACTATTTACTTTAATCAACGAAACTTATGGAAGATGAAGCCCATGAATTCTTTCACACATCTGATCATTTTGTCGTTGATGACCTCTTAGTTGATTTCTCTAACGATGATGACGAAGAAAACGATGTTGTTGCTGATTCCACCACAACCACCGCCATAACCGACAGCTCTACCTTCTCCGCCGCTGATCTTTCGAATTTCCACGGTGATGTTCAAGACGGTACTAGCTTCTCCGGTGACCTTTGTGTACCGGTACGTTGAAATTAACTAGATTTGGTGATTCTTGAATTTTAGTAAAGTAAATGTTATGTTTTGTAATAAAACAAAATGTTATGTTTTGTAGTTTGTAATTATTGAAGTTTTAGAAAAAAGATTTAATGATTTGTTTTGTTTTGTTTTGTTAGTCTGATGATTTGGCTGATGAGTTGGAGTGGCTTTCGAACATTGTGGATGAATCGTTGTCGCCTGAAGATGTACACAAGCTCGAGCTAATATCCGGTTTTAAGACCCGACCCGACCCGAAATCCGATACCGGAAGCCCGGAAAACCCGAATAGTAGCAGTCCGATTTTCACTACCGACGTTTCTGTGCCGGCCAAAGCTAGAAGCAAACGCTCACGCGCCGCGGTTTGTAATTGGGCCTCACGTGGGCTTCTCAAGGAAACGGTTTACGACAACCCTTTCACCGGAGAAACCATTCTCTCAAGCCAACACTTGACTCCACCGACCTCGCCACCTCTATCGATGGCTCCGCTCGGGAAAAAGCAAGCCATCGACGGAGGACACCGGCGGAAGAAGGATGTTTCTTCACCGGAGTCTGGTGGCGCAGAAGAGAGACGTTGTCTCCACTGCGCCACGGATAAGACGCCGCAATGGCGGACAGGCCCAATGGGCCCAAAGACGTTGTGCAACGCTTGCGGCGTTAGGTACAAATCGGGACGTCTAGTCCCGGAGTATCGGCCCGCGGCGAGTCCAACGTTTGTGCTGACGAAGCATTCAAATTCTCATCGGAAAGTTATGGAGCTCCGGCGACAGAAGGAGATGAGTAGGGCCCATCATGAGTTCATACATCACCATCACGGTACGGACACTTCCATGATTTTCGACGTTTCATCGGACGGTGATGATTACTTGATCCACCAAAACGTTGGCCCAGATTTCAGACAGCTTATTTGATTTGATCCCTTTTTATTTACCAATAATTTAATTAGGGATTATCTTCTTAGATCAAATTTTGCTAATCTAAATTTTGATGATGACAATTTACTTTTTCTTCCGTTTAATTTTGTGTTGTTTTGGAATTTGCTAGAAAACTTTTGTTGCATTCCTCATGACATGAAATGAATTTTCTAGTTTTTCTTTTTCTTTTGGTCTCTTTATCATCCATTAGTTAATGTTAAATCTACAAAATGTTTATTGTTACTTTCTCAGGCTTATACTTTACCATTACCAAATATATTGGATCACTTATAACTCTAATAATCGTAGTGATTATAAGAAACAACTAATTTGTTTCAAGTTAGACAGTACTATCATAATTAATATATACAAACATTGAGGTAAAAATTCATAATGATGAAATATTGGTGGGAGAGTGTCTCAGTGTTGGTAATGTGTCACCTCAATGATCAAGGTCCCTCTACTCTTTTGTAGCATAGTTATTTCAAAGTTTCTGCTTTGCAACTTTTGTAATTGTTTCTAAATTGACAATCATCTGATTTTTTTTTTTTTTTAATTAACAATAAGTCAAGAGATTGAACGGTATTTTGTAAGCTATTTTGTTTGCTTCTTCAATTTGATGATTTAGATTAGTACTAATATTTCTTTCATGCAATTTTTATAATCTATGCATGGTTAAAACTTAAAACTACTATATTCCCAACAATACAAAAGGACAAGAGGAATTGATTTTCAAGTAAACTAGTACTTGATAAATAAACATCTCGGGATGAAGTAATTTAATTTTCTGCTCTCACGATCCGATGCAGCACTAATCCATAGTAATTTGTATTTTCTTTATTATTTTATTTAGTGAAATTTTTCTATCTCCTTTATGTTAAAACAATATTTTGTTTTTTGTTTACCAATTCATAAGCTTAGTGATTCTTAATTAGGTTTAAGAAATGAATGCATATCGTATAAGAATAAGATAAACCAAACTAAAATTACAGAAGTTCCATTTGTTTTTTGGCAAATAGAAATTTCGCAAGTGTCGACATTTCTTTTATATTCTCATAGACACTGCCAAACAATAACAATTGCAAGAAGTAGTTTTGGTTTGGACTATTTAAAAATTTATGAATAGTTAAAGAAAAATTTATCAGTTAAGGCTTAGTTTGCGGTGGTCACATGCCTCTCATGCACATGCACATAGAAAGAGAGAGTCATTTTCATGAATGCTCATGTATCTTAAGCACATGTATCCGACAACAACAAAAGTACACTTGTGAAGCTCTAATTCATATAACTGTTTTTAAATTTACGTAGTTTTTTCCTTCTTTTTTTTTAATCTTAATTTTAGTTCCAAGTCCAAACATTATTCTAATTTCGTTTCTTCATGCATCCAGATTCAATATTTAAATTCAACATCTCAATGAAGCATCCATCAGAGAATTGCATCTTGATATAAAGTTATTCATTGGGAAGTTTATAAGAAAAATCTTGAATATGCAATCTTGTAGTTAATTGACTAAAGGTACATGTTTTTTAACTAATGATTATTTTAATTATCAAGTACATTAAAAATGAAATATTCGTCAAATTTTGTTTACGATAAAATGATCATTGAACTAACTTCTTAATAAAAAAAATGATCAAATTCTTTAAATAAAATTATTTAATTTCCAAAATAACTAAAATCATAAAATTAAAATTTATACTGTTATAATTTTACTATATAGAAATTAAAATAATAATAATAATAATATAAGATGCTAAAAATCTCCATTATATCTTCTACAAATAAATAAATGTAGATAGAAGCTAACGTAGAAATGCCGAAAAATGGGTTCCCATGGGCATATAAAAAAAATATGGCACGTTAAATCGTGAAGAGATAGATCATTCATGTCTCCTGACAATTAAACGATATTCTAATTATCCACAAGTCGCATTTATCGTGATCATTGTTTTGTTAGCTGAACTAAAAAAGTAGCTAATGATTCTCCTCTTCCAAATCATGTTATCTAATGGGCAAAACCAAAACAAACCGGGGAGAGATGTTGACCAAGGAGGTTTTGGTTTGCTATATAGCAAATAGATGATTTTTTTTTTTTTTTTTTTTTTAGCAAATAGATGATTGTTAGATAAGGCCCATAAGGGATTGGATTTTAGACAGATTACTTACACAAAACATGAAACAAATATTGAAAATCCATTACAACTCTTTTTGAGCAAGCAGGGCACAAATTTGTTCAGAATACAACCCAATTTCATTTGGTCCTTGATCCTTGTCAAACGAAAAAATGCTAACTAAATTACAAAAGGAGATAGTATGAATCACCAGGGAAATTCCAACATGTGAGTTGAATTTGAAAAATACAAAGGAAGACTGGAATTCGAGCCGCTGTAGAATCTCTCATCGAAACTCAATTTCTTTTGGCATGATTCTGATCTCTTTATCGAGGTACACTTAGACCAAGCTCGTAAGATGATCACAACACATTTCATGATGACTACATTAGCATATGGCATCGTCAGAGCCGGCCCAAAGATTCATGATGCCTAAAGCCCAACAAAATTTGATGCCCATTTACAATAAATAAAAATAAAAAAAAATGTTAAAATCTACGGTTGCCAAGGATCAAACCCACAACTGTCTACTTTTAGACATCCTAAATACCACTAGACTACAAGACATTTTTGTAATTTGATGCCCTTTAAAATACATATAAGATTTGCTTCCTAAAGAATCTGTTTGCTAGGCTTTAGGTCTGGGCCGGCCCTGGACATCGTAAAAACATGTTTAATGTGCAACATCCATACACCAATATCAAAGCTTGAGTCGATATTTAAAAAGGTAGAAACTACTGATAAGACTGGAACAAGTAAACTCTTTCTTTGTTAATTCACCAAAAACCACACTACATATGGGACTCGAACAACGAGAGGTATTGAGGATATATGGACCTGTTTACATCTGGTTATTTTCGGTTTATTGATCTTGGTTTAATCTTATGTATATAAGCTTAATTACACTCTCATTTGATGATTAAGTTGTTGTAACAATACAGTTTGTTAAGCTTCTTCATCACTCTCTCTCTTTTCTGATCTTGAACTTCCAATGTACCGGAGTTTATTAAGAGGCGTCTCTAAACTTTCGACTAATGACCTAGACTTAATTGAATCAATACCAAGACACAAAGTCAATCTAGCTGAAGAAACCGCACTGTGAAGTGGAAGTAGAGATTGAAGCGAACCCAGTTGAGCAATTGGCCTGTTTGAATCAAATCGTTTATGTTAAAATAATATTGGTTTTGAATTTAAAACGTGTTTTTCTTTTCTTTTTATTTGTCAAACTGAAATTCATGTAGAATCAATTTCCATTGAAGGAAATAATTTATTTCATAAGATGTAATTTGGATAAAGCGTATACTGAACAAAAGGCTAATCATTGAACACAATTAAACGCAATAGAAACAAAATTAGCAAATGAAAGGAGAACATCGTTTACAGTTTATATCTTCTTTTAAACGTTTAACCAATCATAAATAAAACTGTATAATATAAATAATTATAAAATATTAAATTAATATATAATTTATCTAAAAACTTGAAAACATTTTATATTGTGAAACAATTTTTTTTTCTAAAACATCTTATATTATAAAACGAAAGAAGTATCATTTACACTCTTTTTATTCAAACAAAGCTATTCCTAATTGTTCCACAAACCCGTTTTTATTGAAAAACAATTATTGCACTACTAATTTTTTAATCAAATTTTGAAATTTCATCAAATAAATATGTGTATGAAATGGTAGTTTGAACAAGTGGTTTTATAACTAAAGTTTATCATGAGGTTCAACAGAAAATATCAATTTAAAATAATTGATGCTCAATTTGATATCAACAGATTAATAATGGTCAAATATCGATGTGATGTCACTTGTCAAACACCATCTTTTGTCTACATGCAAGTAAATTTTGGTTTACACTATCCTGATTTTGCTTTGTCCCAAAATGATCAATTTTCACAATTTCCGTATCTCGATAAATTATAGTTGAATGTAAAAATAAATTGCCTCAATATACAAGCAACCTTAATGGCATCCTATTTTTCATTGCAAAGATTTCAATAAAATGTCAACGAATTGTATCATTTTCAATAATAGTACTAGAAGGACGACAAAAAAAAGAGTAGGAAAAAGGTAAGGGTACTTTAGTCAAAAAAGATGTATATTCCTTAAAAATTTAATAAATACACTTCTCTGTGTATTGGTACGTCTGACGATAAGTAAAAAACTGTTAAAAGTAAAAACAGAGCATTGAAGATATTTTTGTCCAAATCAGTTTGGTTTGTTTTCAATTTGATCGATTGTTCGGTTTAGTTCTTTCAATTCTGTACAGATTGTGAGATTGTTACTCAAACTGGAAAGAAGGTTTGTATGTTGGTTTGGGGTTGAGTTTAAGATTAGTTCAATCGAAAGAACTAAACCGAGTCAAACTTTTATTAATTGGTTTCAATTTGTCAATGTAACTAATTAATAATTGAACAAAAAAAGTAGCATGATACAATACCCTTTTTTGTCTTATTTAACTGTAACATTTTTAACTCGTTGTAATAATCGAAACATTAATCATATTCAAATTCAAATTTGTATTCTCAGTTTTTTTTTTTTTTTTTATGTGTGGAGACTCACGCGCCTTAGGGTTTTCTCTCCAAGGAAACCTTTTCTTCCTCAGCCGTCGTCAATTTTGCAGATCTGAGGCCGGAGTGCGGTGGCTTCTCCAGCACCGGCTCCGGCCTCCGCCCCTTCCTTTCCGTTTTCTTCTGTTTCTCGGCTTCCTCCTCAGACAGTTTTTTTAGGGTTTCTCGTGGCGGAGCTTCGAAAAGTTTGTCACGACGGTGCTTTCCGAGGCTGGTTTTTCAGCGGTGGCTATTGTCGTGGTCCTCCTCGCCTCCGTGTCTCTTCAATTGAAGATCCCTGCTCGTTACCAGGCGGCTTGAGGACGGTTTCCTGGTTCGAGCGAGTCTCCTGTTCTTTGAGTGTTTCACGACTGATTTGGCTTGGGTCGACAGTGGTAGTGCTAGAATCGGGTCGAGTGGCGGATAGTTTTCTTCTCCGGTGTGGCAATGGGCTCTGGAGTCGCGCGATTTGCTTTCTTTTTGTCTCTCTCTTGAAGCAGTGAAGTGTGGCAGGGCAATTTTTTTCGAGCGATTCGGCTTCCGTTGGCTTCTGTCTTGAAGCTGCGAAGTCTGTTCATCCGGCAAGGAAATTCCTCGGTTTGTGGTCATGCGGTGCTGTGTGCATCGGCTGTCCTGGGCTATGCTGCCGCTTAGCTCTCATCCGACATCTTCTCTGTTCTGCTCTGTTTCCGGTGGCTCTGGTTCTGAGGTAGTGTTCTTATTTCTCCGGCAAGAGGTGCTTCACTTTCGTGTTCTGGTAGGTCTTTGGTTGGTCACGGTGTTTGAAGGGGAGTAGCTTTGTCAACGGTGGTTCTCGTTTTAGCAAGCTGGATGTTGATGGTGGAGTTGGTTCAGGAGGACGGTTGTCAGGATGATACGGAGACCCCACTGGCTTGGTGTCGGAGTCACCGGTCCTTTCTAACCAGATGCCCCACTTGTCTCAGGTGATCTCGTGTTTGGTGGTAGGAGGTAGCTCCTCTAACTCTCAAGCTCGAGCGGCATCTACCTCCTTGTTCCATCTCCCAAGCTACCGGAGATGTGTAAGTTTGGTGGAAGACACTACCGTAGTTGATTGTTTTTATGTTAATGAGAATTTTTGGTTGTGGGGAAGCTGTAAGCTACGCGTCTAAGGCTTTGAGGCTTGTCTTGGATTGTAAAGCTCATGGCAACTACGTGACCAGATCCTATTCGAATAAGCTTCTTGGCAATCGACACTCGTTTAAGACGATCTTCTCCTCGTTATTTCCCATTCGATTGACGCTTGTTTGTTTCTCTAGTTGCGTTTTGTGTTTGCTTCTCTTGCCATCGTTTGTTTTTCTAATTTCGTAGTTTTGTTTTGCTTTTTTCCGCTACAAGTGAATCATTGTAACTTCTGTCTCAAATTAAAAATGGTATAAAACTTAACCTTTTACCAAAAAAAAAAAAAAAAAAATTCAAATTTGTAATACATTTTATTATAAAATGTTTTTAAAAAATTAATTTTACTGTGATAAATTGATGAGAGTAAAGAACACAAAAGTGTTTAGGAAGAATTAGAATAGACTCTCATAAGATTAAAGATACAAGGAACATTCTCTTATATAGAGATGAGATTTCCTAATCTAAGATAAATATAAATGTAAATAATATATTTAGAGATAATGTTAAATATCCTAAACTTAAGATAAGATAACTTCTAGATCCTTCTCGATCTTCATGATTTCTATAATCTTGGACGATCATCTCGACCGTCGATCTCGGTCGATCTCCGGTTTCCTCAATATACTGACATAAAACATAAAAAATCGATTAAATTTATAGTTTCAAAATTCCAAAGAGAGAAATATTTAAATAAATAAAAATATCATCCATATATCATATTTATAAAATAATATTTTGAATTGATAAATGTAAGTTAATTATATAGAAACTTAGTGATAAATATCAATGGCATAAAATGTAACTGTTTATAAATTAAAAATTGTTTTTAATTTTTACTTGATAAATATCTTTTCCGTGAATCGTCTTATAACGCATGAAGAGCCAGCAGGATTACACAGACTCAGACAAAAGTATCAAAAAAAAAAAAAGAGAGAAGAATCATTTTGTGACTTCAGAAGAAGTACAAGATACAAAAGCGTGACGGCTCTAAACTCAAAATTCTTCCTCCCAAATTCCCAAATTACCCTCTCTTTTATTTTCTAATACCCTAAATAATGAGTTCTTGATTCCAAGAGTCGTCCGTTGGGTTTCTCGTAAACCAGAGATACACATTAGGAAGAAAATCAGAGAAGGAGAAACTCTTTTTTGTCATCTCTTGTTTGGTGGTAAGAGAGTCTTGTGTTGACTTTAAGCCGATCAATTTTGATCTTTGTTTGACTTCTGATCAACATCTCAACTTTGTAAGCTTTTCTCTGATTCTCTCTGTTCTTGGTGAGTCAGAGCATAAAATTGTATATAAATCATATATGGATCATTACGGTTCTTTATTCTCTTTTAATATATTGCATGCAATGATGAAATGTTAAAGTGATTATTCGGATGATAATCATTACAGATGAAAAAAAACAAAAGATTGAGAAGAACAGAGAAAAATAAATCGTTGACTATATTAGATTCAAGAATCATGTTGCATTATGATTGTTGTTCTTAAAGATTGATACTTTGAGTAACAATTCACTTGAATTTGCTCTGGAATTCACAAATTTGTCTAATGTTTATAATCGAATTTTATAAATTGGTTTTTAGGCGTTGACCATATCAGATTATGTAAATCACATTGAATTATTATTGTTGTTCTTAAAGATTGATACTTTTGAGGAATCAGATTGATTCATATGATTTGGTTGATCATAAATATTGATACATTTGAGTGTTACAGGTAATAGCAGGGCTTGAAGATGAGTCGTGAGTTTCCATGGCTATGGAAAGTCGAAAGCAGACGGTTTCTATGGCTATTGGGACTCACATTTGCTCTCATTGTTACCTTTCAATACATGGAGCTACCGTACGCTATCTCATCCATCTTTTCTTCCACCAAGATTCCCATTTCAAGAAACTCAACTTCACTTATAGGTGACTCGACTTCCGCTATGGCGCCGAGTCCCGGGGGAGATGATGAAGAAGTTGAGGTTGATCAGATTTTTGATAGTAGCCTGAATTCCTCTGCCCCCGCCATTTCGCCTATTACCGCTACATTACCGCCTTTACTGCCTACTTTAAAGGAAAACGCAACCGCGCCTGCTCCTAGTGCAAAGTCTCCGGCTGCATTACCTGGTTTAAACCCGTCTCTAGTAAAGGAAAATGTAACCTCGCCTGCTCCTAGTGCAAAGCCCCCAGCTGCATTACCTGGTTTAAACCCGTCTCTGGTAAATGCAACTGCGCCTGCTCCTAGTGTAGAGGCCCCAGCTGCATTACCTGATTTAAACCCGTCTTTAGTAAAGGAAAATGCAACCGTGCCTGTGGCTAGTGCAAAGGCTCCTGTTGCATTACCTGGTATAAACCCGTCTCCAGTAAAGGAAAACGTAACATTGCCTACCACTAGCAAGGTACCGGAAAGGAATCCAACTAAAAAAAATGTTGGAGATGTTTCTCCTATTGTCAGATTTGTTCCTGATGTAAAAGAGAACGCGAAAATGCCTGATTCCGGGGTGATGTCAATAGCCGAGATGAGCAAGCAGTTGCGTCAAAACCGTATTTCTCATAATCGTCTAGCAAAGGTTTATCAATATCCTTAATATGATACATTTTTAATAGTAACAATAGTATAACATGTTTCATTTCTAATTTTCAGAAACCAAAATGGGTTACTAAACCTGACTTAGAGCTTTTACAAGCAAAATATGATATCGAGAATGCACCGATCGATGACAAAGATCCTCTCCTATACGCTCCTCTTTATCGCAATGTTTCCATGTTCAAAAGGTGAGTCGGTTTTTTTTACTTGAAAACTGCATCAAAGCTCATATTCTAATGATACTAATTTGAGCTGATATTGAATTCTCTAGGAGCTATGAGTTGATGGAGAAAATTTTAAAGGTTTATGCTTACAAAGAAGGAAATAAACCAATAATGCATAGTCCAATACTCAGAGGGATTTATGCATCAGAAGGCTGGTTTATGAACATTATTGAATCCAACAACAACAAATTTGTCACAAAGGACCCTGCAAAAGCTCATCTTTTCTATCTACCCTTCAGTTCCCGGATGCTTGAGGTGACTCTATATGTTCAGGACTCCCACAGTCACCGCAATCTTATTAAGTATCTAAAAGACTACATAGATTTCATTTCTGCTAAATACCCTTTCTGGAATCGAACTTCCGGTGCCGATCATTTCCTTGCGGCCTGCCATGATTGGGTAATGCCTTCTACACTTATTTTGTGACATTTCTATATGAAGTTATATAGATGCAATCTTTGAGATTTTATAAAGATGTGATCTTTGAGATCATTTTCCGAAAACATAAGGTCTTTTGTGACATTTCTCTATGAAGTTATAAAGATGTGATTATTGAGAACATTTTCTGCTAAATTATGGTCTTTTGTGACATATTTATTTGAGGTTATAAGATTGGATTTTTGAGGTCATTTTCTGATAAATGTGTGGTCTTTCATGACATTTTCAGGCTCCATCGGAGACGCGAACGCATATGGCTAAGAGTATAAGGGCGTTGTGCAACTCGGATGTCAAAGAAGGCTTTGTCTTTGGAAAGGACACATCTTTACCAGAAACTTACGTTAGAGATCCCAAAAAACCCCTAAGTAACATGGGTGGAAAGTCCGCAAACCAAAGGCCGATACTTGCTTTCTTTGCTGGGAAACCCGACCACGGGTACCTCAGGCCAATCCTCCTCTCCTACTGGGGTAAGAACAAAGATCCCGACTTGAAAATCTTCGGTAAACTTCCGCGAACTAAAGGAAACAAGAACTACCTTCAGTTCATGAAGACGAGCAAGTACTGCATTTGCGCCAAAGGCTTTGAAGTAAATAGTCCGAGAGTGGTAGAGGCCATTTTCTATGATTGTGTTCCGGTCATCATATCCGACAACTTTGTCCCGCCCTTTTTCGAGGTTTTGAACTGGGAATCATTTGCGATTTTTATACCGGAGAAAGATATCCCGAATTTAAAGAAGATTCTCATGTCGATACCGGAACGTCAGTACCGATCAATGCAAATGAGAGTCAAGAAAGTTCAGAAGCATTTTCTGTGGCATGCAAAGCCAGAGAAGTATGATATGTTCCATATGATTCTTCATTCGATTTGGTATAACCGAGTTTTCCAAATTTCTGTTTAAAAATTTTGTCCAACAATTCAATGTACATTTTCTTACAGATAAAATTTCTGAGTAAACTCAATTTACAAAAAACTATATCACAAAACCAAGTGGCCACAATTTATTCGATCAGTAAATCTAGTAGTAGTAGAATGTTTTCACTTATTACAATGATACAGTGTAGTTTGATTTCAATCAGTAACAAAACAGAAGCATGTGAGAAACAAGAAGCAGAATTGAAGCTGCCATGTTCAGAAAACCAATCTTAGTCTCTAGAATTTCTCTTAACCTTTTGGAAAATTATTAAACACCGAAGAGGACAATAAATGGAGATGGTGATGTTTGACGTAACTGGAGACATGTTTCTTTTTCATATGTTTCGTCTGTCTCTTACATTAACCTTATCATTTCTAACTTTTCAGTATTTTCTTGGCCAAAACAAAAAAAATAACTTTTCAGTGTTTTTAACTTTTCACCAAACATATATTATATAAATAATAGATAATAGGTTGTGAATATAATTTGTTAACTTTTGACTGATTGTTTCTTCTACTTCTATGTCTGAAATCATATATTTAGATAATTTAATGTTATAATCTCTGAAAATGTACTGCATTTATCCTTTTCAGCCTATAAAAAATAGAATCTAGAACTGGCATGGAAGTATTTGTCTCCCGGTGGTCTGAAAATCATGATTAAATAATTACGGCAATACCATTTTACTCAATATCGTATTTTAAAATTCCAATAACATTATTTATCAAAATTTTTGGCATTTTGCAGGTATTCATTCTTGAGTAGCACTTAAAATATGAAAACATCATATC